TTAAACAATTTCACTTTATCACCCTCGGTAGAGTGCTATGGCATCATAACTCACAGCAACCTCAAACTCTTGGGCTTAAGCAATCCTTTTGCCTCAGCCTCCTGAGTAGCTGGGACTACAGGTGCCCTCCATAACTGTGCCAGGCTAGTTTTTAGAGACTGGTTCTCCACTCTTACTTAGGCTGGTCTCAAACTCATGAGCTCAAGCAATCCACCTACCTCAGCCTCCCAGAGTAAAGATTACAGGCATGAGCCACCATGCCTGTCTTTCTTTACCTGTTTTTTGTATGGTTCAGATCATATTGCTTGTATATTTTTAACTTAACGTTATATAAACATTTTCTTACATTAAAATTATCTATAAATTTTACTCATTTAAATTTTACTCATTTTACTTAATGACTGCTGTATGTAACTATTCCAGCTTATGAATCAACAAAATATTATAAACATTTTCCTTTTGATGGGTATTTTGGTTGTGATAGCTTTCTACTTGAACTATTCTTTATTTAAGATTGTTGTTCTTTTTTTATAATTAACTTTGTTATAATTAAAGTTATAATTAATCATAACTTTGTACATTGATGCATTTATGGGGTTCAGGTGATATACAATGTGAAATGTTTATATTGAACCAAGTAACACATCCATCACAATTATACTCATTTCTTAATAGTTTTGAAATGTACCATTGCATCATGCACATTAGGTGAAGTCCCCCCTCGAATGCCCTCCCTTCTCCCATATGCCCTTTCTCTCCTCTTCCCTTCTACTTTATGGACTATAGTTATGTTTTGCCATTTGTATGATTGTGTAGATGGTTATATATTGATTTCATAGTAGTATTGAGTACATCGTATACGTTTTTTTCCATTCTTGGGATACTTTACTAAGAAGAATATCCAGCTCCATCCAGGTAAACATAAAAGATGTGAAGTCTCTGTCTTTTTTATAGCTGCATAGTATTCCATGGTGTACATATACCACAATTTGTTAATCCATTGATGGAAGATTATTGTTCTTAAGGAAGGATATGGAGCCAGAAAAATGCTGGTTTAAATAGTTATGAACATAAAGATTTGCTGTTTATTCCAAATTGCTCTTCAGAAAGTTTGTTCAAATTTGTACCGCCTCTCTCACAATGTGTGAGAATGGCTGGTTCACTGTAACTTTGCCAACGTAGACTACTACCTTTAAAGAACAAAACAAAACAAACAGAAACAAACTTCATAATTTTATAGGCAAATAGTGACAGGCTTACAATTTTAATTTTGGCTCTCACTGTGTGATCCTTTTTGCTTTCAGAAACTGTGGGTGGAAAGAATATGTTCGTTCAACATACTCTGTTGAACACGGCTTTGCTGGAGCTGCCTGTGTTTGAGACTCCTTGGTTGAAAAGAGTCCTAGAAGTAGGAGCTCAGAAAAACATCCACTTTGGGGTACATGGCTTAGTCTATATTAAAGCTATTAAAATCAGCTTTAGAATCAGATGGTAACTTTTTTGACATCACTGAAACAAGCTAGGGAAGTTGTTAATAAAGGCTTACAGATCCCCTAGAGGGTCTTATACCAGGGAGGTGGAGCAGATAGTATGTTGGTGGATGCTGGAATTTGTTTCCCAGAAACGACCAGATTGTGTGGGTTTGTGAGAACTGACTTTGACTTGTCAAACTTCAAGCTGATATATATATATGCAAAATAATAGTTTGTTAATTTATTATGGAATGCTCAGTTCACCATTTACCCTACCTTCTTCTAGGATGAAGGTATCTGGAAGGCTAATATAGTAATTAAGAAATGGAAATTGTAAGGGATAATTCAGCTGGTTTGTGGAAAGGCCTCATAAGCTACCACTGCCCCACAACAGAGAACATTTTTGTGATAACCAGATGATACACCTATTCACTTCTCAAGCTGTAATGTTGAAGATACTCCTTGATTCTGAATTCTGGGATTTCTCTTTTTTAGATTCACTAATGCAAATTATCTTTTTTCTATTAATACGTGTATAGTTTTGTTTTTTGAAGACAGGACAGAGTCTCACTCTGTTGCCCAAGCTAAAGTGCTGTTGTGTCAGTCTAGCTGACAGCAACCTCAAACTTCTGGATTCAAGTGATCCTCTTGCTTTTGCTCAAGTAGCTGGGATTATAGGCACCTGCCACAATGTCCAGCTAGTTATTCTATTTTTAGTTGACAAGGGGGTCTTGCTCTTATTCAAACTGATCTTGAACTCCTGAGCTGAAGCAATCCTCCCTCCTCAGCCTCCCCATGTGCTAGGATTGAGCTACTGAGCTACTGAGACCAGCCAGGCTACAGCTTCTTTCAAGTTTCATTCCTCTAATATTTTCCTGCTCACTTTAATTAGATTTGGGTAGTCGAATTAAATTTTATTTGTTTGTTTACTATCTTATGTTCATATTCTGGAAGAACCTCACTATCTAGTGTTCAGATTACTGCCTTTGAGGTATAAGTTTAGAATGTAAATAGGTTATTGAAATGAAGACATTCTTGGGATTCTAGGTTGAAATGGTTGGAAAGAGGATCATTTGAGTAAACAATAACAGTAGTAGTTGGAGCATATATTTTGGAGTCAGTTCCAGCTCCACTTTCTTTTTCTTTTAGGCGATAGGGTCTCACTCTGTTGCCCAGGCTAGAGTGCAGTGACTCTTTTCAACCTTGAATTTCTGGGGTCAAGTAGTTGGGATTACAGGTGCACACCAGCATGCCTTGGTAATTTTTTTTCTATTTTTTTTGTAGAGATGAGGTCTCACCATGTTGCTCAGGCTAATCTCGAACTTCTGTCCTTAAATAATCCTCCCACCTCGGCCTTTTAACCTGTCAGGATTACAGACATGAGCTGCTATACCTGGCCTTCCAGCTCCACTTTTGACGAACTATGATTAGGACAAATTATTTAACCTCTTGAAATTTTACTTTCCTCATTTCTAAAATAAGTTAATAGTTTTTGCCTCACAAAGTTCTTGTGAGAAACAGAGGGAGATAATGGATGTAAATTAATTAGAGGCCTAGCACTTAATAGAGGGATGATAACTTTTTTTTTAAACAATTCGGAAGAGTTTGAGATACGCTTTAGCCTAAGGTAGAGATGTGTCTTATAACTTACTAGTGCTTTGCTTGCTTTTGAAGCCCAAGGCTTAGTTAACTAGTCTTTCTAAGAAGGTAAAATTCTACTAGGCGGGCACTAGGTGTCAGTATTTCTTTCTTTCTTTCTTTCTTTTTTTTTTTTTGAGAGTTCAAAAAAAACTGCTTAGTTCAAACAAAGATTAAGGTTAGGTATTTATTGTTATTATATTTTAGAACTTTTGCTAGTTTAACTCCCTTGATAATGACTACATTCCCTGCCGTCATACACCTTTATATTCCTTTTTGACTAAAGAGTCAATTTCATCTATTCCTATTTATTTTATCATTTACCTGAGTGGTTGAAAGATGCATAATTTGTTGTTTTTAGGTCATTTATATCCCATTAGGAAACCCTGAAAACTTCATCCAGTAGCTTTAGTGGAAGAAGTCTTGGCTTGGCACCCATAGCTCAGTGAGTAGGGCACTGGCCACATACACTGAAGCTGGCAGGTTTGAGCTTGCCTGGGCCTGCTAAACAACAATGAACACTGCAACCAAAAAAATAGCCAGGCATTGTGGCAGGTGCCTATAGTCCCAGCTACTTGGGAGGCTAAGGCAAGAGAATCTCTTAAGCCCAAGAGTTTTGAGTTTGCTGTGAGCTGTGATGCTATGGCACTCTACCCAGGGTGACATAGTGAGACTTTGTCTCAAAAAAAGAAATCTCATAGTCCAGGCTCTTCTCAGAAGTTCACCTAAGGAAGCAGTAGTTGCTTTTTCACAACTGCATTTTTGTTGTTGTTGTTGTTGTTGCAGCTGTCACTGTTGCTTTAGCTGGCCTGGGCTGGGTTCCAACCCACCAGCCTCAATGTATGTGTCCAGCACCCTACCCAGTGAGCTACAGGCACTGCCACACAGCTGCATTTTTAATGCCCTTGTGTACATCTACATTTAATGAATTGATATTTATACCAACTCTGCCATCAATCAATGAAAATAATCTTGTCCTGGGCGGCACCTGTGGCTCAGTGAGTAGGGTGCTGGCCTCATATACCAAGTATGGTGGGTTCAAACCTGGCCCCAGCCAAACTGCAACAAAAAAATAGCTGGGCGTTGTAGCGGGCACCTGTAGTCCCACCTACTCAGGAGGCTGAGGCAAGAGAATCGCCTAAGCCCAGGAGTTGGAGGTTGCTGTGAGCTGTGACACCTCAGCACTCTATCAAGGGCAATAAAGTGAGACTCTGTCTCTAAAAAAAAGAAAGAAAATAATCTCTTCCTTACGGAGTCCCTATTTAGTACATTTCCTAAAAGACGTCCTTATAGCCAGATATAAAACACATAGTGGCAGATTTGTAGCAAAAAATTTTTTTATAATATTCCCTTTGGATGTCCTATAGCTTGGTTATAGCTTGGTTGTTCTCAAAGAGATTTCTTCCATGGATTATAGTATTTATCCCAACTCAACATTTATCATTGGAAACTGAACTTTTCTCTGTATTGTCCCCTTCTACAATTCAAGCTTTATAATTGCTTTGATGAAATCATAATTCATTTGACTTACCAGTTAATATTTATATAGGTCTTATATTTTACAAAGTGTATTGCATAAATTATCTTTAATTCTCACAGTAACACTCTGTGAGACAATTGGTGATACCCATTTTAAGATGAGGAAGGAGATGCAAATGTGACTTATCCAAGCTTACAGTTAGTAGGTGATTTAGTTATAATTTAATTACTAGTCTTCTGACTCAATGGAGTATGCTCTTTTTATTGAAACTTATTGACTTACATAAAATGTTTCATTCTTATTGATAATTGCTAGGTGATAGCCTTGAACAATTAACTTTTTTAAAAAAGGAAAAAAAAAAACAGTTCATCTATGCCTGTATATTTAGGATATTAAATATTTCTTTGCAGTCTTCCCAGGGGCTATTTGTTGAAGAAACTTCTGAAGAAGGAAATTCTGTACCTGCCTCACAAAGGTGAGATTATGCATTACTATGGATCTGAATATTCCTCTGATGGTGCCAGTGTAAGGGAGATTAACCCATGCCAGAGAATGTTCAGCTCTTTTATAAGTGAAGACTAAGAAAAACGTTATTATCTCCAAGTTCTCAAATATGCATCTCATGGAAGCCTAGAATATCAGGGCTAGAAGAAAATGTCAAGGTCGTCTTGTCCACTCTGACTATCTTGACATAAGGACCATTGACATTATTCCTAAAAAATGATGATATCCTGCTACTCTCTTAACTTACTACACTAGCGTTCTGTGACAATTTGAAGGGTCTAGACTGATTTCTATAAATGGTCCTTCTATTCTTCCTATCTTATTTTTTTCACTTTGTTCTTGCTTATGCTTATTTTAACTGCATATCCGAACTGAAAGCATCTTTTAAGTTTACTCTTCAGATTTACATTCTCCTTGAAGCTTTTATATTATTCAGGCCATACAGAACCAGTATCACTCTCACTTTTCTCTGTGCTACTTTTAATCTGTTTTTATCTCACTTCTCCTATAAAGGGTTGTATGGGCATTACCTCTATTATTCTTGCTGATTGATTATAGGGTTACCTTCTAAGTCTTCTTACTTTAATAATAGATAGTGGTTGATTGATTATAAACTGCATTGGATCAGGCTTGTAGTCTCTTTCTTCTCTTATCTGATAAGCGAGTTTTGAGAATTTCTCAAGAGCTTAATTTTGTATTGAGTGACTATCATGTCCCTTATGGAAATTGAGGCCCAGATATCATTTGCTATAGTCTAGGTGGTGGTCTGTCTTTGGCTTTTGATTAACACTAGGTATTTCTTCTTGGGATGAAGAATAAGGCGTGGTATGATTCTCCTGCTGTTAAAACAGTTTGGGAAATGGTTTTAGCTGGAAAAGGCCTTCTGCTCCCTGTAGGCCTCTCTGCTTTATTGTGGGGAACCTTGTGCTGAGCAGATGTAGATTTTAATAAATGATTATACGCTTTGTCACCAGGAGACAGTTGGAATCGCAGGCAATGTGGTTTGACTTCAAATTGATTAGCCCTTTTTATAAATGTCAGAAAATTGTTTGGTCATGGACCCTTTGAAAAGAGCCCTAATGTTATATGCAGAGTAAACTGTGGCTGGCTTGGGTTTATAAAAAATGCTATGAGATGTTTTATTTAGAGGGAGAAATCACTTGTGGTTTCCTGTCAGGGTTTAGTTATTTATCATGAGTCAGTGGTAGCTAGTCTCTCTGTGGTTCTTGGTTGTTGTGAGGATTTGTGTTTTTAAGCATCCTCTTGCATACTTGATCAAACTAATTGTAAAGCTTTGTGAAGCATGAGGGTGCCAGCTCAGATGCTCAGATCTCTCAGCCATGTGTTCGTATTTTAGGAAGAGATTGCACTCCATGAACAGGCAGGGAAAACCAGGAGGTTGGTTGAGGGAAGCCATTCATAATTAAGTTTTTCTTGGAAGAGATAATTCAAGTATTTGAGCAGATTTTTGCTGTAGGGAAGTTTAGAATTTTATTTTGTTTTTGTTGCTTGGAAAGCATATTTTGAGATAAAGAGGAAATTTAACTGTAAGGTGATGGAAAAGCTAGTGTATTGTCAGAAGAATCTCCATATCTTCTCCTGTGAGTTCATAAATCTCTAGCCTTCAGAAGACTGAGAGATGGAGGCTATAAAACACCTTTGACATCTTTATATTGAAGTGAAGTTTTTGTCTTCTGTGATATTCACAGAGAGTTCTTACCCTTTAACCTTTCTTTGTGAAATCCCCAAAAGGAGATTTCTTTTCATTCAGTGAGTTCACTGAAACTGAAGTTATAAGCATGTTTATTTTTCCTATTTCTGGCCTGGAGTTTTCACTACTGATTCCTTGCTTTCCTGTTGTGTCTTTGTGGTTTTAGACAGCAGGTGTCAGATTACCTGTGGCTTTATGAATGAGTCACTATTGCTTTTGGTCCTGTGTTCTGATTTATTTTACTGGGAATTCAGTTGAGGTTTGATTCTTTTTCAGCATCACTACTTTGACCAGTAAGAGAAGCTCAGTTCTTATGCCAGAGAGTTCTGGAGAAGAAATCACTGTTTGTCCTGGTAAGTACCCTACTGTGATTTTACTGAATATCTGATAACTTAGCTATCTGCCTTTTCTTATGCCTATTAATTTTTCTCTGACTGTTCAAACCTCTCAGGAGGCTTATGTGTGACTAATAGGTGTACGAGTGTATCTCCATACATGTGTATGCATACCTATACATATACATGTGGTTTTTATTTTTTATTTTCTTTTTTTCTAGAAATCTGAGGATGAACACATGTATTTATTTTTAATGGACATTGGCTTTGATTCTCAGCCTTTTCTATTCTCAGGGATAATTTAGTTTTGAAGTCAACATGACACTTTTTTTTTTTTAATTGAATAGTAACTATGTACATTAATGCACTTCTGGGGTACAGTGTGGAGTTTTCACAAACAATCCGAAACACTTCCATCAAACTGGTTAATATAGCCTTCATGTAATTGTGTTGTCTTATTTGTTTACCAGCATTATCAGAGGTGGCAGTACATCAGGGATAGCACTTACTTAACTGTATATTCAGAGCCTTTTACTAGTTAGTTTTAATGCTGTCATTCATTGGGGTCTTATTGGATAAGGGGTCCAGAAATTGAATTTTGTGTATAATTCCTGTCATTGACTTATTTCTAATCTTAGAGAAATAACCTAGTCAAGTACTTTAGTTTGCTTATCGTTAATTGTAGAGATTAAAAAATACATACCTTGCTTTTGGCAGAAGAGATGCTCATTGAGAGTTATACATTAGGCTGGGTTTGGCAGCTCATATCTGCAATCCCAGTGCTTTGAAGGACTGAAGCAGGAGGATTGGCTGAGGCCAGGAGTTTGAGCCCAACCTGGGCAACATAGAACCCCCGCAAAAAGAGTCATACACAGATGGATTTAGATATACAAAATAATTTTAAATGGGCTCGGCACCTGTGGCTCAAGTGGCTAAGGCGCCAGCCATATACATCTGTGGTGGTGGGTTCGAATCTAACCCGGGCCTGCCAAACAACAATGATGGCTGCAACCAAAAAATAGCCAGGTATTATGGTGGGCGCCTGTAGTCCAAGCTACTTGGGAGGCAGAGGCAAGAGAGTCGCTTGAGCCCAGGAGTTAGAGGTTGCTGTGAGCTGTGATGACACGGCACTCTACCCAGGGTGACAGCTTGAGGCTCTGTCTCAAAAAAAAAAAGAAAAAAAAATTTAAATGCACTAAGATGCCTCCTGTCTAAGGGAACTCTTGAGCTGAATTTACATAATGCAAAGCATTATTTTGTCATATGAACTACTTTCTAAGGCATTGGTTTTGTAGCTTTTCTTTTCTTTTTTTGGCTTATCTAAAGATAGAACCCATTTTATCATTAACCTCATTCCTGTGAGATTGACAGACTTGAGACTAATGGTTAACATATTAACTACCATGTGAGTTGTATTTACTCTAGTTTTGAGCCTGGGCCTTATGAAGCATCTATAACTCCCACAGTGTGCACGTTGACTGCCACACTAGAAAAAAATTTTTTTCCTTAAGGCCTTGGGGTTTTATTAAGTCAATAGGTCAGGAGACATGTTAGTTAGGTATGCTTCATGAGGCCCTGTCCTCAAAACTATCTAGCATGAATTAAATACTCATAACCAGTTAATGTGTTTGACCTAATAAACACTGTGGTCCCAAGGGAAAATTGTTTTTTCCTATTGTGACAGTCAGTGTGTTAAACACCTTGGACAGCAAGGAGTTTATAGATATTACCATAAGTCATATGATTTTTCCCTAGGTCTCATATAGCTTGTAAGGGCTAGAGATACTTAGTTTTTAAATTTTAATTTCTTTTAGTTTTTTCCCCCACAGAGACTCAGACTTAGTGTATATGTACTGTATTTTATGGTGTGTAGTGTGCACTTTCTTGCTCAAATTTTTAAAGGAAAAAAAGGGTGTATAATATACATAGATAGTGTGGCTTAGGAGCTAGGGAGCCCCAGAAGGCCTCTCAGGGCTGCCATGCCCTCCCACCTGGGCCTGCTGGGCACACAGGGTTCTAGTCCAGGACGATCTGAGATCTAGTGGGAACTGGCCTAAGCAGCCTCAGTTGAGCACCATAATCAGGGAAAGGGGTGCTGGCAGGTCTGGCAAGGCTGACTGCATTCATACAGGGCAAGGGCCAAGGCCCAAGCTCCTGCTCTATTGCCATTTTGGCTGAGGCCCTCAAGGTAGCAGAGAGAGAAAGGATCCTGGGAGAGGAGGAAGGGGCAGCCTTCACAGAGTGGGTAGCTGTGATCTGCACATTTAGCAAGGGGGGGTGTTAGCCTTCCCCAATAGTGTGTCTACTATTGGGGAAGCTGTCTACTTTCTTGAGGGGTGCTTTCTTGAAAGTTTTGGCAAAAAATGTGGCATATGAGCATGTTATACATGGCAAAATACAGTAATCTAGGAAAGTACAGTAAGTATTTTTAAACATTTAATAGCCTATCATAAAGGTCTTTATTTTTCAAATTTAACTATGTTGATTTTTATTATTTATTTATTTATTTATTTTTGAGACAGAGTTTCACTGTGTCACTCTCGGTAGAGTTCCATGGCGTCACAGCTCACAGCAACTTTAAACTCTTTGGCTTAAGTGATTCTCTTGCCTCAGCTTCCCAAGAAGCTGGGACTACAGGCACTTGCCATAATACCTAGCTATTTGTTGCTGTTGTTGTTGTTGCACTTATCATTGTTGTTTAGCAGGCCCAGGCTGGGTTTGAAACTGCCAGTGTATGTGGCTGGCACCCTACCCACTAAGCTATGAGCACTAACCCTATGTTGGTTTTTGTTAAAGTGGTTCCTTAATTCATTGAAATGTATTTGGATTTTAGTGATACTACGAGACCCATTACCAAGTGTGCTCTGATGTCAGCAGGAGCACTCAAGAATGTAATGCTCTCTTTGTGAAAGGAAAGCTTTACCTCTGTGATTGAGACTGCTGACCTATGATATCTTTCTTGGAATTCACTCTGTCTGTTTGGGATGATGGCATGTGAGGTCACCATAGGATCTTGCAGGAGGGACCTGTAAATACACTGATCTTGAAAGCCCTTGTTAATGAGGGAAAAGCAAGTTCTTCATGACCGAAGTTAGATAGCTTTTATGATTATGACTTGCTGTCATTGGCTTGCTAATGCAGTCCAACTGTTTGCTGATAGAAACCACTTCTAAATGAGATTGTAACAGGTTTTCATTACATTAATGTTCTTTTGCTACCAGTAGAAAGTATTACTACTTCTTTATGAAGCCAAACTTCTTGTAATTTCAAAGTTATATATTTAAGTTGCATGAAAAAATTTATTCTAAATGGGTGAAACACAGATTGAGTGTAGTAGTCTATGTTGCCTATTCCCTTTTGTCTCATATTTCTCACAGTTTCAGGGGTTTGATATTCAAAACTAAATCTTTTTAGTGTTATTCACTTTATTGAAGGAGGAGGATTATAGCCTTATGTCCACATTTTGTATGCTACTAGAAGTGTTTGTTTCTGAGGAGCTAATGCCCTCAAGTTGTTGTTATAGTTTCACATTTTAGCAGTTCACAGAAAACTTAATTGAAGACTTTTTTTTATTGCAGTAGTTCAAACAGTGAATGCTTCTTAATTTTGAACAGATTGAATGTCTTTTTGATAATACTTTTCAGGGAAAATTAATGTTTTTGCTCTGGAATCCTTTTCCAGCAAGGTAGTGTGAGTGTATGTGTCTAGTTTTTGAAAAATTGTGATATATTAAAATATAGTTAATTCTAGAAATATATTTAATCTTTATTTGATGATCCAGAAGATATTTTAGAATGTTGCAAGTGCTTTATTTGCCCAACATTGGCCATTCATTGTATTTGTGAAGCACAGAAGTTAGAGGTATAGTAGGTACAGTGTCAGGCAACAGGGAATTTACTGGATTTGGATTCTGAGATACAATTTCTTGTCTTTTTTTTTTTGAGACAGAATCTTAATCTGTCACCCTGGGTAAAATTCTGTGGTATTATAGCTCACAGCAACCTCAATCTTTTGGGCTTAAATAATCCTCTTGTCTCAGTCTCCTCAGTAGCTAGGACTCTATTGTCCAGCCACAAAGCTTGGCTAATTTTTCTATTTTTAGTAGAGTTAGGGTCTCACTCTTGCTCAGGCTGGTCTTAAACTCCTAAGCGCAAGCAATCCACCTGCCTTGGCCTCCCAGAGTGCTAGAATTACAAGTGTGAGCCACCGCACCCAGCCCACAAAATTTCTTGCCTTAATTTAGGCTTCTATAACAAAATACTATACTGGCTTATAAACAACAGAAATTTTATCTCATAGTTCTGGAGATGGGGAAGTTCAACATCAAAGAGTTGGCAGATTCTGTGTCTGGTGAGAGCCTGCTTCCTAGTTCATAGATGGCACCTTCCTCCTGTGTCCTCACATGACAGAATGAGAGCTAAAGAGCTCTCTGGAGTGGTCCCTTTTGTAAGGGCACTAATCCCATTCTTAAGAATTCTCCTCTTGTGATCTAATTACCTCCCCAAAGCCTCACTTCCTAGACAGTCACATTAGGGGATAGGATTTCAACATACAAAGTTTGGGAGGTACACAAATGTTTAGTCTATAACACTTCTTTTCCAGATTTGTTGTTTTTTGATATATAATTGCTCTTCTTTTATTAAGTGATAGGTGTCTGAAGTGGAGGCTGATAAAAAATAAAAGACTATGTAGTAAATATTTTAAGCTTTTTGAGCCATGCAGTTTGTTCAAACTACTCAGCTCTTCTTTTTAGTGCAAAAGCAGCCATACACAATACATGGAAGAATTTGTGTGGCTGTGTTCCAATAAAATCTTACTTACAGAAACAGGCAACTGAATGGATGTGGCCCTTGAGCTATCTATAGTTTTCTGGCCCTTACACTAGACTACAAGTGACCCCCTGACCTTATATCTCCATATTACTAGTAGCTTTAACAATGCCTAGGACTTGCTATTTAATTAGTATTTGTTGAATTGATGTTGAATTAGTAGATGCTGCCTAAAGAAAATATTGAAGAAAGACATCTTTGTCTCCAGTACATATTCTGTTTCTGTTCATAATTTCTGGGGTGCTTTTGGTTTTTGGAGACAGACTCTCACTCTGCTGTCCAGGCTAAAGTGCCATGGCATTAGCCTAGGTCATAGCAACCTCAAACTCCTGGATTCAAGTGATATTCCTGCCTTAGTCTCTTGAAGAGCTGGGACTGTAGGCATCTAACACGATGCCCAGCTAATTTTTGTTTTTAGTAGAGACAAGGTGTCACTCTTGCTCAAGCTAGGCTCCAACTCCTGAGCTTAAGCCATCCTCCTTCCCATAGGTGTGATCCATGGCGCCTGGCCAGCATTTTTTTTTTTTAAACAGAGCCTCAAGCTATCCCCCTGGGTAGAGTGCCATGGCATCACAGCTCACAGCAACCTCCAACTCCTGGGCTCAAGCGAGTCTCCTGC